GGGGCGTACACTAGACCAGGGGTCTGGGAAGGGGGTGAAATAGGCGTACACTAGACCCGGGGTCGGGGAATAGGGGCCACTAGGGACGTACACTAGACCAGGGCTCGGGGATGGGGGTAGGAGCCTAAACCCGGGGGTCGGGGAAATGGGGGGCCCTAGGGATCACTAACCCGGGCTGGGAATAGGGTGCCTAGGGGGGTACACTAGACAGGGTTGGGATAGGTTCCACTAGGGCTACACTAGACCCGGCTCTGGGGAATAGGGTGCCACTAGGGGTCCAGACCCGGCCGGGGAAAGGGTGCCATAGGGCGACCTAGACCCGGGCTTGGGGAATAGGGGGGGGCCCCAGGGATAACAGACCCGGGTCTGGGGAAAAAGGGGGGCCAAAGGGACGTCCCAAAACCCGGGGTCTGGGGAAAAGGGTCCACTAGGGACGCACTAGCCAGGGTCTGGGGAAAGGGGGCCATAGGGGGGGGCACTAGCCGGGCTTGGGGAATTGGTGCCACTAGGAGACACAGACCCGGGCTTGGGAATAGGGGGCCACTAGGGATAATAGACCCGGGTGGGAAAGGGGGACAGGGGGTAATAGGGGAAGGGGGTTTTTGGGAATGGTTCCATAGGGAGTAAACTAGACGGCTCTGGGGAAAAGGGTGCCACTAGGAATACTGGCCCAATTTTTTGAAGGGTGTTTTCTCCTGGCCCGGCCCCTGAATAAAGGACAAGGGGTTAGAGGGGAAGTATGAGTTAGAAAGGGTTGGGGATAGGTGTTAGGGAGTATACCAGTTTTTGTAGTATAGGAGTACATAGAAGGGTCGAATTTAAGTGGTAATTGAAAGGGTTTTTTGGGGTGTGATTAGGTAGAGTTGGATATGTAGATATTTTGAATTGGGGAAATTTTTAGTAATAGAAGGGTTTGGGGTGGGATTTAAGAGGGGGAAAAGGGGGTAGAAAAGGAAGGTTTGGGGTTTTTGGGGAAAATTACGGGGTGTATAGTGGGAATTTAAGGGGTAGTTGGGAAAGGGAAGGGAATAGGGGGGGTAGGGGTGGATTTTAAGGGGGTTTTGGGATGGGTATAAGGGGGGGTAGAAAGGTTGTGGGGATATGTAAAGGGGGCGATAGGGGTGAAGGGGGTTTAATAGGAAGGGTTGGGAATAGGTGATAGGGTTTTAGGAAGGGGTTTGGTAGGGGGTTGGTTTGGGGTTTAGGGAGGTTGGAATAGGGTGTGGTATTAGGGGGGGGTGGGGGAAGGTTTAAAGGGTTGGGAAGGGGTGGGTTCCGGGGAACCCTGAGAAGGGGGGTGGTCGGATAGGAGTTATAGGGGGGGGGGTGGAGAAAAAGGGGGGAAAGGGGGGAATTTTAGGCCGGGGAGGGGTGGGCGTAAGGGGGTAGGGATAGGGAGGGGAATTAAAATGGGGGATGGGTTTGGGGAATAAAGGTGGGGATATGGGGGGTTTTTGGGGGGGGCAGGGGATGGGGAAGGGGGGTTGAGGGTCGGGGGGTATAGGGAGGTTTGAGTGGGTGTTTAGGGGAAGAAGGCGTGGGTGAGAGTAGAGAAGGGGGGGGATGGGGTTATTGGGTATGAGGGGGTTTGGGGAATAGGGTTTAGGGTATATAGTTGGGTAGGGTTGTATGTAGGGGTCGGGTGGGTTTAAATAGGAGTTAGTGGTCTGTAGGGGGGTGGGAAGGAGTGGTAGGGGTATAGGGAGGTTTGGGGGCCCGGGGATAGGGTAGGCTCCAGGAAAGGGGCTTTGGGGAGGGGAAGGGATTTTAGGTCGGGTGGGGGAGGAAGGGAAAGGAGGGTTGGGTTGGGGAAAGGGGAGGGCCAAGGGGGTTGTAAAGGAGGGGTATGAGGGGGAAAGGGGTAGATGTGGGGTGGGAAATTGGGGGATGGGAGGGGGGGCGGGAGGAAGGGGTTTCAGAAAGGGGGGGGATTTGGTTAAGGGGAAGAGGAGGGGGGAAGGGAATAGGGGTAAAGGGGGTAGGGGAGGGGAAGGGATAAAGGGGGGGGAGGGGGTAGGGGCGTAACAAGGGGGGGAGGTGGAAAGGGGGGAATAGTTTGGGAGGGGAGGGAAGGTAGGGGGGGGGGGTGGGGGGTCAGGAGGGTGGGGGGGGGTAGGGAGTTGGAAAAGGGGGGGAAAGGGGGGAATAGGAGGGTTAGGGTTTAAGGAAAGGGGAGGGGTATAGGGGGGGAAGGGTTGTAGGAGTTGGAGGGTTAAAAGGGTAGGGGAACGGTGAGTGTAGGGGAAAGGGGGGGAAAAAGGGATTTGGGTGGGGAGGGTTTATAGGAGTTAAAGGTGGAGGGTATAGGGGAGTTTAAGAGTTGATGGTTAAGGGGTAATAGGAGGGTTGGGATGGGTGGATTAGTTTTTTTTTTTATTGGGGTTTAGTGTTTGGGTTTTGGATTAGGATTTTGGGGTAGGGTATAATTAGGGGGGGAATGTGTATTAGAATAGTTGTGGGTAATAGGTTTTGAAAAGGTTAGGGTGGTAATAGGAGTTTTAAAAAGGGGAGGGTGGTGGGGATAATGTAGGAGGGTAAGGGGGTAGAATTTGGTGGAATAGGGGTAGAGGGGAGGGGTAAGGGGCCCCCCGGGTAGGGGTGGTAGGGTAAAGGAGGGGGAATGGGTGAAAAGGGTTATAAAAGGGGGGGGAAAGGGGGTTAGAAAGCAGGTGGTAAAGGGTAGGGGGTAGGTAATAGGTTGGATGGGTTAGGGAGTTAATGGGAAAAGGTGGTTGGTATATATTAGGGAGTTGTTTGGGGTTTTTAATGGGTTTAGGGAGTTTGGGGTTGGAATAGGGGTAGGGGAAGTAATGAAGAGAAAGGGTTTGGGGTAGGGGGTAAAGGGTTTAATAAGGTTGTTTTGTGGGGAAAGATGGGTTTGGAATAGGGTAAAGTTTAGGAAGGTTGGGGTAGGGTTTTAGGGTAAATTTAGGTGGGGTAGGGTGAGTTAGGGTATATTAGTTAGGTTGTGGTTAAAAGTGTGGGGTAGGGTGTAGGAGTTATATGTGAGGTTGATAAGGGGGGTTGAGTTTATAGGTTGGGGTAGTGTAGGGGGTAATAGTGTAGTGTAGGGGGTATAGGGTTTTAGTGTAGGTAATGAGAGGAGGGTTTGGTAGGGATAGGTATTGGGTTGGGATATGTGATGAGGGGGTATGGAAAACGGTGGTTAGGGTATAGTGAGGTAATATTTAGTTTGGGAATAGTGTTGTAGGTTGTGTTTTAGAGAGTGTTAGGGTTTTTGGTATATAGGGTAGGGTTTTAGGGGGGAAAGGGGGGGGTTGAGTGGGGGGTAATGGGGAGTGAGGGTAAAGTTGGAGGGCGGGTCTGTATTAGGTAAGGAAGGGTGGGGGGGGGAAGGGGGTATGTGAGTAGGGGGTTTTGGAGGGGGATTAGGTGTATGTTGGGGTGTGTTGGGGTTGGAAAGCAAGGTTTGAGTGGAAAGGTAGGAGGGGGTGTGGCTGTGAGGAGGGGGGGTAGTGTTAGGTAGGGAGGGCTTGTTGTGGTTAGGCAGGAGTGTAGTGGTAAAGTGTAGGGGAGGGTAGTTAGGGGAATAAGTGAAAAAATAGGGAGGGTGTGTTTGGTGGTATAGGGGGTTTTGGGTGGTAGTTTAAGGAGGGGGTTTTGGAGTGTTTGGGTTTTAAGTGATTGAGGTTTTGGGGTTGAAGTGATAGGGTAGTGGTTAAAAGGTGTGTTATGGTTTTGATGTGGTAGGGAGGTGTAGTGTTTGGGGGGTTTTTAGGGGTGGTAGGTGGGGAGGAGGGTAAATAGTGGAAGTGGTAAAGTGTAGGGTATGGGAAGGGTTGGGAGTGAAATTTTTAGGGGGGGTGGGGAGGGGTAAAAGTTTGGGGGTTTTAGTGAAGAGTAGGGAGAGGGGAGGTAGGTGGGGTTTTTAGAGGGTAGGTAGGGGATTTGGGGGGTAGGAGTTGGGGGGGAGAGAGGGAAGGGGAAAGGTGTGAGTGGGTTTTGGATGTATGAATTTAAAGGAGTTGAGAGTTTGGAATTGTTGAGTGGGGGAGGGATTAAGTGGGGAAAAAGGAAAGGAAAGGTCATTTCATGATTGATATTTAGGAAAAATGATGATTTCCCTTTTGAGAGCCCCGGGGAAATTAAAACGGGCCAAGGGGGGGGGGAATAAAGGAAAGATAGTTAAAAAAAATCATGAAACGTTCCCGGGCAGCCGAATATGTAAAGTCCCTAGCTATCAAGTGGACGATCTTTTGAAGGGGTTTTTCATAAGGAGCCCTTCCTCGGCTAATTTGGTGGTTTTCACCTGTCCATATAGGCACAACACTGGGGCCCGCCTTTGGGCCAAATTTTTAACGGCGATACCCCCCGTCATACGGGGTTGGGTGTGGGAAAAGGGGGCTGTTTACCGGGAAAGGCCCCCCCGGAGGGATTTTGCTGGGGGAGGGGAGCGGGTTGAATGGCCTGTCTGGCCATCCCCTCTGGCTCTCTATGCCTCTCCGGAAGCCCGACAGGCGGTGGGAATTGTAGTGCTTTTATAATGGAGAAGATTGTTTTTCTCTTGTAATAGGAGCGTATGTGAGAATCATATTTTCCCCGGTGTAACTTCTGTTGAGTGAAGGGATTGGATAATCGTAGAGTTTTTTTGTTTTTTTGGGGGGGGGTGGGGGGGGGTTGATTACAGAAATATATTTCCCTACTTTGAAAATAAACTTCAAGATCCAAAATGCCTTGTTTCCTCTACGCAGTCCCTATCACTGCGAACGTGAGGATCAGATAGGGTGGGAAATGATTCTGGACCGTGAATATTCTCTGGCATTAAAACCATATTTTATTACCATAGAAAACGTTACATTATAACTTTAGACGCGTATTTGCTTAGTTTGAACGTGGTCCCATCCTGAAGTGACGATCTTGTGTAAGATTCGCAGAGATAAGAGCGTTTTGAACTCGGTTAGTTTCTGCTGCCTGTTGCTCAGCTGCGTCTGAAGAAAACCAGCATCGATAAGCGTCGGTTCTGTCTCTCCATCTGCAAAATGCCACGGGATAACAATACGTCTCTCATTCAGAAAATAGCCAGCCAAGCCAATATCACATTTAAAGATTTCAATGCATCCGCAATTGGGGACAACAAAGTATTCTTGGACAACCGGGGGGATCTAATCAACCTGCTGACCGAAGTCAGGGCTGCAGACCTGAAGATCGCGCAGATGAAACCGAACGGCTCCCATTCCGACCAAAGCCCACCCGTCAAGTACATGCACATCTGCGAGACAGAGTCGTTCAGTATGGGGGTGTTTCTACTGAACAGCGGGGCTTCCATCCCGCTCCACGACCACCCGGGTATGAACGGGATGCTGAAGGTTCTATACGGGAAGGTCAGTATCAGGTGTTTTGACCTGTTGGATAAACCTCCGGCCCAGTCGGAGAGTGAGACCCAGTTCGACCCGCCGCTGCTACCGTCCCAGAAGGACTGTCTGCGGCGAGCTGTGCTCAGGGCCACCACGTGGTTCACCCATGACAGTAGTCCGTGTATCTTAACCCCGCATAGGGAGAACCTGCATCAGATCGACGCGGTGGATGGACCTGCTGTCTTCCTCGACATCCTGGCACCTCCGTATGACCCGGAAGATGGGAGGGACTGTCATTATTATCAAGTCTTACAGACTGTTCCCAACGCAGACAGTAAGGTAGAGCCGCAGAAGGAGTGGGAGGAAGAGACGTGGTTACTAGAGATAGGCCAGCCTGATGGCTTCTGGTGTGGGGGTGAACCATACCTCGGGCCCAAGGTCTCCTTCTAATGTCTGTGTTGTAAAGGGAGGGATACCAGTGACCAAATAGGGGCTGCCAAATTACTTTCAAAATACTTTGAATCGTTTTGAGTGGGACATGAGTTGGAGCAACTGAATGAACTGCAGGTGTCTTGGATATGTCTGGGATAGGCTTTTAATCACCTTATTAGTTTCAATATTGAACTTTCTATATCTCCTGCAAACTTCCAAAGAAGATGTTTTCATCCTGACCAGCCTCAGAAACTTCCTATGCTCTTAACACCATTGTTTGTAACTGAATATATGATATGCCTTATGTGAGTATTGAATGTAAACTTAGAAAGCATTTATCATGTCTTGTTTCCAAGTGCACACTACATTTTATATCTTTCATTGATTTATTCCAAACACATATGTGTGTATGTAAACACTTATTCTAGCTTTGTTTATGCTTTAAGGTTTTTTTTTTTTTGGACAGCTGAAAGTTCTACCAAAACCTTACTGCATATATATCAGGATATACACCCCCCTTCCTGTATCACTCCTCTGTTCTGATCACTCCTTCCTGTATCACTCCTCTGTTCTGATCACTCCTGTTCTGATCACTCCTTCCTGTATCACTCCTCTGTTCCGATCACTCCTTCCTGTATCACTCCTCTGTTCTCATCACTCCTTACTGTATCACTCCTCTGTTCTGATCACTCCTTCCTGTATCACTCCTCTGTTCTCATCACTCCTTCCTATCTGGTCAGTATATAGGCTACTGTATGTTTGTTTTAGATGGTTTTAGTTACTAAATGTTTGTGGAGCAATAAACTGTATAAGGTCCTTCATCAGTATCATCAGTGTCATTAGTATCATCAGTGTCATCAGTATCATCAGTGTCATCAGTGTCATCAGTATCATCAGTGTCATCAGTATCATCAGTGTCATCAGTATCATCAGTGTCATCAGTATCATCAGTGTCATCAGTATCATCAGTATCATCAGTGTCATCAGTGTCATCAGTGTCATCAGTGTCATCAGTATCATCAGTGTCATCTAATTCCAGTCTATTGGAGCTGCCCTGCCTCTGCTGCAGGGTCCTAATGCCGGCCCATGGAAGGAATAGCCCAAATGCCCCAGTCTTCATGGTCACACCTGCCCTGCCCTTGACACGCTAGGCTGGTCAGCTCATAACTGGGATTATCAGCTATTCAGTATAATTACAGACAATTAGTCTGGACTCTGAGCTGTCAGCTGACGCAGTCTGTCATATCCATCTCATGAACAAGGGTCATTATGTCAGCCAGAGAAGAGATGTCATATCCATCTCATGAACAAGGGTCATTATGTCAGCCAGAGAAGAGATGTCATATCCATCTCATGAACAAGGGTTATTATGTCAGCCAGAGAAGAGATGTCATATCCATCTCATGAACAAGGGTCATTATGTCAGCCAGAGAAGAGATGTCATATCCATCTCATGAACAAGGGTCATTATGTCAGCCAGAGAAGAGATGTCATATCCATCTCATGAACAAGGGTTATTATGTCAGCCAGAGAAGAGATGTCATATCCATCTCATGAACAAGGGTCATTATGTCAGCCAGAGAAGAGATGTCATATCCATCTCATGAACAAGGGTCATTATGTCAGCCAGAGAAGAGATGTCATATCCATCTCATGAACAAGGGTCATTATGTCAGCCAGAGAAGAGATGTCATATCCATCTCATGAACAAGGGTCATTATGTCAGCCAGAGAAGAGATGTCATATCCATCTCATGAACAAGGGTCATTATGTCAGCCAGAGAAGAGATGTCATATCCATCTCATGAACAAGGGTCATTATGTCAGCCAGAGAAGAGATGTCATATCCATCTCATGAACAAGGGTCATTATGTCAGCCAGAGAAGAGATGTCATATCCATCTCATGAACAAGGGTCATTATGTCAGCCAGAGAAGAGATGTCATATCCATCTCATGAACAAGGGTCATTATGTCAGCCAGAGAAGAGATGTCATATCCATCTCATGAACAAGGGTCATTATGTCAGCCAGAGAAGAGATGTCATATCCATCTCATGAACAAGGGTCATTATGTCAGCCAGAGAAGAGATGTCATATCCATCTCATGAACAAGGGTCATTATGTCAGCCAGAGAAGAGATGTCATATCCATCTCATGAACAAGGGTCATTATGTCAGCCAGAGAAGAGATGTCATATCCATCTCATGAACAAGGGTTATTATGTCAGCCAGAGAAGAGATGTCATATCCATCTCATGAACAAGGGACATTATGTCAGCCAGAGAAGAGATGTCATATCCATCTCATGAACAAGGGTCATTATGTCAGCCAGAGAAGAGATGTCATATCCATCTCATGAACAAGGGTCATTATGTCAGCTAGAGGAGAGATGTCATATCCATCTCATGAACAAGGGTCATTATGTCAGCCAGAGAAGAGATGTCATATCCATCTCATGAACAAGGGTCATTATGTCAGCCAGAGAAGAGATGTCATATCCATCTCATGAACAAGGGTCATTATGTCAGCTAGAGGAGATGTCATATCCATCTCATGAACAAGGGTCATTATGTCAGCCAGAGAAGAGATGTCATATCCATCTCATGAACAAGGGTCATTATGTCAGCCAGAGAAGAGATGTCATATCCATCTCATGAACAAGGGTCATTATGTCAGCCAGAGAAGAGATGTCATATCCATCTCATGAACAAGGGTCATTATGTCAGCCAGAGAAGATGTCAGGAGATGTTGCAGTGGGGCTGTTATTGTGTCAGGAGATGTTGCAGTGGGGCTGTTATTGTGTCAGGAGATGTTGCAGTGGGGCTGTTATTGTGTCAGCTAGAGGAGATGTTGCAGTGGGGCTGTTATTGTGTCAGGAGATGTTGCAGTGGGGCTGTTATTGTGTCAGGAGATGTTGCAGTGGGGCTGTTATTGTGTCAGGAGATGTTGCAGTGGGGCTGTTATTGTGTCAGGAGATGTTGCAGTGGGGCTGGTATTGTGTCAGGAGATGTTGCAGTGGGGCTGTTATTGTGTCAGGAGATGTTGCAGTGGGGCTGTTATTGAGTTATTGTGTTCAATACAGAGGTCAGTCTGATGCTGTACTTCAGTTCTATGTTGTTGTTGTGATGTCCTCTCTGGAAGAACACCCCACATAGCTCATGTCTATGAAATATACATTTCCTGGGGTTTATTGTGGATCCCCATTAGTTCCTGCCAAGGCAGCAGCTACTCTTCCTGGGGTTTATTATGGAGCCCCATAAGTTCCTGCCAAGGCAGCAGCTACTCTTCCTGGGGTTTATTATGGATCCCCATTAGTTCCTGTCAAGGCAGCAGCTACTCTTCCTGGGGTTTATTATGGATCCCCATTAGTTCCTGCCAAGGCAGCAGCTACTCTTCCTGGGGTTTATTATGGATCCCCATTAGTTCCTGCCAAGGCAGCAGCTACTCTTCCTGGGGTTTATTGTGGATCCCCATTAGTTCCTAACAAGGCAGCAGCTACTCTTCCTGGGGTTTATTATGGAGCCCCATTAGTTCCTGCCAAGGCAGCAGCTACTCTTCCTGGGGTTTATTATGGATCCCCATTAGTTCCTGCCAAGGCAGCAGATACTCTTCCTGGGGTTTATTGTGGATCCCCATTAGTTCCTGCCAAGGCAGCAGCTACTCTTCCTGGGGTTTATTATGGATCCCCATTAGTTCCTGCCAAGGCAGCAGCTACTCTTCCTGGGGTTTATTATGGATCCCCATTAGTTCCTGCCAAGGCAGCAGATACTCTTCCTGGGGTTTATTATGGATCCCTATTAGTTCCTGCCAAGGCAGCAGCTACTCTTCCTGGGGTTTATTATGGATCCCTATTAGTTCCTGCCAAGAAAGCAGCTACTATTCCTGGGGTTTATCATGGATTCCCATTAGTTCCTGCCAAGGCAGCAGCTACTCTTCCTGGGGTTTATTATGGATCCCCATTAGTTCCTGCCAAGGCAGCAGCTACTCTTCCTGGGGTTTATTATGGATCCCCATTAGTTCCTGCCAAGGCAGCAGCTACTCTTCCTGGGGTTTATTATGGATTCCCATTAGTTCCTGCCAAGGCAGCAGCTACTCTTCCTGGGGTTTATTATGGATCCCCATTAGTTCCTGCTAAGGCAGCAGCTACTCTTCCATGGATCCATTAAGGCACTTACATTACATATAAAACAAAAGATTAAACGGTACATCATATAACATTACTACCCCACTACACCACTACATATCTACAATACAAAATGTATAATACCACCATACAACAATAGTACAATGAATGTGTGTGTAGAGTGCGTGTGCTAGCGTGTGTGCATATGCGTGTGTCTGTACCTGTGTGTGTGTCTCTTCACAGTCCCCGCTGTTCCATAAGGTGTATTTTTATCTGGTTTTTAAATTTGATTTTACTGCTTTCATCAGTTACCTGATGTGGAATAGAGTTCCATGTAGTCATGGCTCTATGTAGTACTGTGCGCCTCCCATAGTCTGTTCTGGACTTGGGGACTGTGAAGAGACCTCTGGTGGCATGTCTTGTGGGGTATGCATGGGTGTCCGAGCTGTGTGATAGTAGTTTAAACAGACAACTCGGTGCATTCAACATGTCAATACCTCTCACAAATACAAGTAGTGATGAACTCAATCTCTACTCCACTTTGAGCCATGAGAGATTGACATGCATATTATTAATGTTAGCTCTCCCAGCCGTGCTGCCCTGTTCTGAGCCAATTGTATGTCCCTCTTTGTGGCACCTGATCACATGACTGAACAGTAGTCCAGGTGCGACAAAACTAGGGCCTGTAGGACCTGCCTTGTTGACAGTGCTGTTAAGAAGGCAGAGCAGCGCTTTATTATGGACAGACTTCTCCCCATCTTAGCAACTGTTGTATCAACATGTTTTGACCATGACATGAATCACTTTGACAGACAGTTTGTTGATGACATTTAACTCCCATTTAAAGTTGTGTAGGCCTATCTTTGATTGGGTGATCTGAAACACATGATCTACTATCTCATGGATATGTTTCATGTATGTTTCATGACAAGTCATCCTTTAGGTCGCTGGTAGAAAGTCCATTATCTTTTCTGTTGACTGTATCATTATTTGACTCTATAAAGTGACCTTTACAGTATCCAACCTACCAAAAACCTCTGTTGTGTGCGTCTGTAATTCAAGGGTTGTCGAAGACCAAAGCAGTTCATAAAGACACTGTAGATGAGATGTTGGTAATATCCTGTGGTTTCAATCAACTCGTGGTTCTTCTTTAATGCCTCGATCAGATATTGGCTAGGCTATGGCTTTTGTTTTGGATGATCAAAGTATGAACTTTCGATTATTGGATGTCCTATGTGTATAGATCTCTATATGTGAACAACGTGAAAGATCTTTCCTGTTCTAGTTGTTAACAATCAGAACAGCACAGATAGACGGTGAGTGGGAGCAGCCTTGTGAAAGTATGACTCACTCATCAGACTGACGTTACATGGGAATTACCATACTCGCCCGTATGGTCTACTTTCCAATAATATAACATTATATTAATGTTGTTCAGAGTTTACTTTATTTGTTTTTAGTTCACAAGAAATAACCAGGCCTTTCTGGAGGCCATTGAGATTTTTTTTTAAAAATCAACATTAACATTTAATATGAGTCGGAAACATTCACAAAAAAACAAATGTCAAGTCGATATATGAGTTCAGTTATTTGCATTCCTTATTTTTAGACGTAAACCACAACACGTTCCATAGTTACACGGCACAATGTGTACAAAAATATATAATCAAACTTTGATATTAAATGACAAAATTTACAATTTCATTAAATCGTCCTTGTATCTGACAATGTACAAAACAATGTGAAACGAGGCACAACAGGGGGAAATTCAATCAACCAACATGTTAAAATGGACACATTTTGTCTAGTAAATAATTTAAAACGCTTTCCCTTCTAAATTATTGCAAATATAACGTTGTTTCCATGCAGCGTTGTGTACATTGTAGCCTATTGGCACGTCAGTGTAAATGTGCTTGATATTAATCCTCAATATGTTTCTTCCCGTTTACATTACGAGAATATAGGCTACTAAGTGTTAAAAGTAATGTCTATTAACTTGAGTGACTTCAGTAGGCTATGCAAAAAAAAAAGTGCGTTTCTCTCAGCCGCCAAAACTGAGATGATTCATCGTGTGACCGTTTGGAGCACACCGGGATGATGCTCAATTACGCATGAAAGAGAATTATGCTGTTGCATATAAAGTTCGTTCCATCTTGTGTTTTGAACTTGCAGCTTCCAAACAATTAAACCTCAATCTCTATTGTCTTTAGTTCATCAAAGTTTCTAAAATATTTATTCCATAAACCTATTGTCTATAGTGTATTCTATAACGCCCGCGAGGGGCATCCCGCCAGCTGTCCCGTGCTAGAGGAGCAGACTCCGCTAGATATGCTTATAGAACCGGTACCGGAGTGATCAGAGTTCGTGTTGTTTGATGACGCAGTGGATGATTTTTTATCTTTCTGTCTGAGATGAATCCTGGTGTGTCTTTTGCGCTCGTCGCTCCTCGCGAACTTACGGCCACAGAAATCACAGGCGAAGGGCTTCTCTCCGGTGTGCGTGCGGATGTGGGTGGTGAGGTGGTCGCTGCGGCTGAAGTTCCTCATGCAGATCCTGCAATGGAACGGTTTGTGTCCCGTGTGGATCCGGATGTGTCTGGTCAGCTCGTCAGACCGGGAGAACCGCCGGTCGCAGCCCTCCGCTGGGCAGGGGTACGGCCGCTCATGGACCGGGGTCTTGCTCGGTCTGTTGGGGTATTTTCTGGGCCGCAGGATGGGTCTCAGGGGGAGGTTCTGGGGGCTGTACGCCGTGGGGAGTCTGGGTCCATCCGAGACCGGTCCACCTAATGTAAAGTTCCTAATAGTGTTCAGGGGAGTCAGAGGTGGGGGTACTCTGAAGGAGTCCAGTGGGCAGGGGAAGGGCTTGCGGTCAGGCATGGCCTGCATGTCCCGCTGACAGGGCGGCTGGAAGAACCCAGCATAGTCTGGGATGATGGGGAAGAGACCCGAGTCTGTGTTGGGCTTGGGGGAGGAGTAGGACGGCGGCGGGTAGGAGATACCGGGGCCGGTGGAGAGGAAAGCCGACGGGTCCTGGTAGACCTCCCCACAACCGGAGTAGGGAGGCGGGGGAGAGTAGATGTGATGCTCCATGTCGGCCTGGTTCTGGGCCATGGTGCAGCTGAGCGTGGAGGAGAAGTGGCCGGGAGAGGAGGAGGACGCAGGGGAGGAGGAGGCAGAGGATGGCTGGGTCATGCCCAGGATCCCCGCACTCACTATGTTGATGACGCCCTCTGGGTTCCAGTTACCGGGATACTGAGAGTCGATGGAGAACTTTCCCATGTAGGTGAAGGTCTGGTTCCGATGGCCAGGCGGCTGGGAGAAGCTGGAATAAGACAGGTCGAGAGAGCGTTTCTCCAAGCTCATATCGCCACTCATCAAGCCATCTGGAAGATAACAAGAGACATCTTAGCAGATAATCACAAAACAATCACGAAACAAACAAATCAGAGAGCTTCAAACACACACTGCAGGTCCGTTCTCGTGCGCACAGTGTTTGGAACAGCGGTGCGTGCTGCGCGCTCGCCTCCTTACGCACTCATTCATTCAACTTTTCAAAGGGATGTCGTTTTACTTTTATGCAAACTTATTTTTGAAAAGTGCTTAACTCTAGCCATGTGCCTCTAAAACAGAACATTTTATTACCACTGATACAAATATCCAGACATAAATGTGTCCCACAACCTTTAATTCAAAATATTTCCAAAAGCTTTTGGCCAAGGTGAAAAATGCAATATCAAACATTGTGCATAATATTATAACTGAAAGGAGTAGCCTATACGTTTCTTCTCCAATAACCAAATACAGCACAAGTTGCATTCTCTTAAAGTCCCCATGATATCCAAACAACACCATGTTATAGTCCAAGCTTACCTGGAGCTCCGCTAAGATGGTCGTGGTAGTGGCCTCCTAAATCAGCGTTAGGAAAGATAGCCACCCCGGGCGGCAGACTGTCATGATCCACCGGGTAGATACTATCAGAGAGAGGATGGACAAACGCACCCAGAGAGACCGGGACTTTGTCTAAAGTTTTAGCTGTCATCATTTAACTAACGGGTCCTCGCTGTTTCCAGGTTCAAACGGTATTTGAACCGGCTGGTTGAGTATGTGTGGCTTTACAGTCCTGTCCTACACTGGAACATCTGATAACCTGTCCGGAGAAGTTGCCAAACTCTGGAGCGCCTGTTGATACCACCTCTATAGCCTACTCTACTCTCTCCAGAACATCAGGCTGTTTAGTGAATGACGGGTCCTGGCAGCACGAGCAGCGGTAGTATGTATTTATCAGAGGGCAGTGAATGCGCCACTACGTCACTGCCCATACAAGGACCGTGTGGTTAGCGAGAGGAGGCGCTGGGGGATCCTATTGGCCCCGGGCTGCGTGACGAGATCACAGAACACTTGTCAATGGAGAACCCACAAGTGAAAGTTGCCAATATAAAGTGATACAATGTTTTTTTTCATGCAGCTCCATTAGCACGAAAATTATAAAACAATACAGGTGAAAATAAATTAAACAAACGCATGATGGCATGGTATCAGTTTAGACTGACATCAACGTTATAAGCTTATCTGGTCTGTAAGATTTGAAATGTTTCCTCTACACATCGCCTTCAAAGAGGAATTCCGGTTCTTCTCTAAAAGCCATACATGGTTTTATCCGGTAAATCTAAGAACACCCCTGCCTACATATAAGGGTCATATTCCGGAATATGAGCGTCGGAAACTGTCGAATCTTGCCGAGCAGAGAGCAGCGGCTGAACTACCGTCGCAAACCACAATCAAATGAGAGACACAATCACGGAATTTTCACCTTCGCTGCATTAGACTCGGAAACTTTGTCAGGGTCATTTGAATAGGCTTTGCTTTAGGAAAGACTACAAGCCTATTTACTTATGAGCTATTTATATCAATAGAAGGGGAAAGTATATGTCTTGAAATTATTTTTTTATAGGCTACAATTGTCTCTAGTGGCAAGTTTCATGACTTTGACATCCTAAAATAAAATGGGTATAGTCATGTGGTCTAATGATAACGGAACATATGGAGACTGTAGTAGACCCAGGTTAGTTATACATTAGGCTATTAACTAGGCCTATAATCTATCATAGTCAAATATACATTTTTATATTGTTAATATAGGCTACTAATAATATGATTACTGTATTTGTTATTATTATTATTATTATTATTATTATTATTATTATTATTTTGTTGTTGATTCTCAATACTATTGCCCTCCAGCGGTGTTGTCCGGAACTGAGAGGTCGACTCATCTGTCCGGACGCCATCTAGGCTACTGACTGTCTGGTGTTTCAATGACACCCATCTAAAACCTCGGGAACCCCGCGCGCATTTTAGAAAACCGGACATAGTTCACAAAAACATTTCCGTTCAGAGACGATAAAGGCGCTGTATTAAATATTGCAATGAGCACAGCTTGGTAGACTTGGTATACTGGTAAAGTCCCCCTGTGGGTTGAGAAACTTGAAAGTTAAAACTAGATGGGTGGGCGAGCGGGTCGTGGGCCTGGTTGGAAGGCAATTTCCAGATTGTGGCTGTGTCAAGTAACGTGTGGGAGAAAATTATCTAAATTTAAACATTTGATGACTATAAAAAGTTATCACATTTTCTTGATACTTACACATTAGGCTATAGGTATTATTATTTTATTAATAATATGCCATTTATTGTAAGTAGTTAGGCTTATTATTATGTTGATATTACTATAATAACGATTGAATAACAATTATTGCTAATAATAATATCAACAGGATATAGACAAGACTGAATCCTTCATGCTTCAGCTCCCTGACTCTGTGAATGGAAAAGGCTCTGGTTGATTTGCGAGGTTTCCGGTTTGTAAGGAAACCGCACCGAGCATCATGACCCCACACACTCCTCACATTAATCCTGTTGTAGTCAATAAAGGTTGTCAATGAGAACTCTATTAATTTAACACGAACCATGCTGCTGAGCGCGCCTTTCACCGGCCCCGTCAGTTAAAAGTATCATTAACAATATGGGAACTGACTGTGAATAAAACTCTACTAGACCGCTGCTCAATCAGACGATTGTAGCCTATAAATGGCAATAGATAATGTATTTGTTGTCAAGGCTATATTGGTGAAAAGGAGAGATAAAGGCAGACTGCTTGATAACCTAATTAACAGACCTACATATTTACTGTTCCTATATGTAGGAGGTTTGAGGTCGAAACCACAGGAGAGGTGTGGGCTATGCGGAGTTGCGTGGTAGGAACACGATGATGAGCGAAAAAACGTTATGTTTATGAATCACGACTTTTTAAATTATATTTTTTAATCTTCCAGCATTAAAACAGCAGATTCTGTATTTGTTAAAATGATCAGCATCCATTTGGTCTTGGATTCCAACGGTTCAGTGTGTTAAAAGTGCGTGTCTCTTCTCCTCGTCCTGAACGTCATCATATCAGGCTCAATAGGTCGTCAGGATCTGTCCTGTGTGCTCACAGACAGACAGGGGGCAGCATGCTGCATCACCTGACCTGGAAGCAGCCTAAGCATGTTGTACTGCAGACAGACAGGGGGCAGCATGCTGCATCACCTGACCTGGAAGCAGCCTGGTGTATTGCTCTGCTTCACTGGGTTTAATCCTATAAAGCGCTTGTCATTAAAAAAAAAAACTCAGTCCACAATATCAAACGTTAATCCTGCCAAAATGTCACCACCGAGCAGAGAATAGTGTCCCCTCTAAAGAAACAGAAGCCTGCCAGAACAATTCATATTGTATTAGGAGGCTGTAGGAGGAGATCCACTTTATTTAGTTTAGGCCCACATGAGATCAACATACTTAGGAGTCGCTCTCAGATTAGAAGAATTAAGAATATTTAGAAAAATAGAGCAAAATAGTGTGTGCGAGTGTGCGTGTGTGTGTTTGTGTGTGTGACTGTGTGTGTGTGTGTATGTGTGTTTGTGTGTGTGACTGTGTGTGAGTGTTTGTGTGTGTGTACAGTATGTGTGTGTGTGTGTGTGTGTGTGTGTGTGAGTGTGTGTGTGTGTACAGTATGTGTGTGTGAGTGTGTGTGTGTGTACAGTATGTGTGTGTGACTGTGTGTGTGTGTGTGTTTGTGTGTGTGACTGTGTGTGTGTGTGAGTGTGTGTGTGTGTACAGTATGTGTGTGTGTGTGTGTGTGTGTTGGAATGCCCCCCTACACCCCCCATGTGAGTTTCTGTTTAAGCCACTCTTTCCAAACGGTGAGGTTCTAACACAGGAACACACTGTGTTCTGAGACAGTTCTGCAGCAGCCTTTGGTCCAGGCCCACAACAGGGTCTTGTTCATGTCAATGCGTTCACAACGACCTCACTTCTTTGACACTCTGAATGTTACCTTTGTCTCTGACAAACTTCAGAAACTAAAAACTTTTTATCCACACATTCTAGTGACATGAAAGCCATTGAGTTCAGATGAAGGTCCAACTTTTTTTGGCCCACAGACTAAGACCATACACCGGCGGTAGCCTACACAGTGTGCTGCGATTTCATTGTAACTTCTAACTACATGTGACAAGACATTCACCACCAAATGAGAAACCAAACCACAACCCCCCCCCCCCCCCCCCCCCGCTGTCTCCCACCTCTGTCACCTCCTAAGACAACAACACGCCCATGTATCATTCCACAGAGAACTGTCACAGTTATACTATCAAACATCCATCTACCACCTCCATCCTCCACCGCCCCCCACCCTGCAACAAGCTGTTTGTGGAGCACAGAGAGACCATCACTATCTCTGTCTATCTAACATTGCTCCACCAACCTTCTTCGTTTGAATGGTGTAGTACTGTCTAATCTAGCCTATACTCCCCAGTCCACCAGACCAGCATGGCCGTTGTCACCCAGAAAGACCATCCGTTAAAGATCATGTTTTCTATAAGCGTTCGTAACCGTAACAACCCCTCGGTGGGTTATCGACTGGAGTGCGTCTCTGTGAATCACCCCGTCCGTTCGATAGCTGCAACCAGCCACAGTCAGACCAGACATTTACATCGTCCTGTCTGCGCTACCTGCCGTGAGGCCCGTCGGTGTGCCTGTCAGACCAGACATTTACATCGTCCTGTCTGCGCTACCTGCCGTGAGGCCCGTCGGTGTGCCTGTCAGGAGCCACGCCATTTCTCCGCCTAATAGCTCTGGGCTGAATAAACACTGGTGACAGAGTGATGGCAGAGAAGCAGGGCTGTGCCGATTACCCTGTTAGTACTGTGTCCCAAAGGGCACCCTATTCCTTATACAGTGCACTACTTTTGACCTAGGGACCCATAGGGAATAGGGTGCCATTGTCTCAGATCTTTAAACATGGCCTCAGAGCCTGAACGTCCATGACGAGATGAGGTAATGAAGCTGCCCTGTTTTACGAGCCGTATTAACAAGCCTCCCTGTCTGACACACTGGTTATAGAGAGCCTGACCGCTCTAGCTCTCCGCTTGGCACAGCTACTGCTTCACAGGGACGACACACTGGTTATAGAGAGCCTGACCGCTCTAGCTCTCCGCTTGGCACAGCTACTGCTTCACAGGGGATGTTCCTAGTTCAAATGACAGTTATTCTCTTCTGGTCCAGTCAAATACAGCAAGGTTCTGGTCTGAATACTGATGTCTGTCTGAGGGAGTGGACCTTCTAGCACTGTGGAGATGTGCTGTACTGTCATAGTGCAAGTTCTCATTATGTGATCTGACATTGGAAAACTTTCCAAAATATATAACTAAATTATAACATAAACAACCTTGTAGTGGTCTTTAATAACTTTGTAGAGGTCACTAGAGGTCATTCATTTCATCATTGCTAAGTGCTCAGTGCTGAATTAAAGCTGCGATTGTACTGTAGTGTATGTTATTGGTAGCCCATTGAAAGTGTCTCAGTCAGGAAACAAAAGGTCTGCAGTCTGTCTCCGAACACTGGAAACCTATGTGTTGTTAACTCCATCTGAATGTTTCACATTTTCAGGAATTCTCATCATCCTCCTCCTCAAATGAAATGAGGAAACAGTTTGAAATGCTCTTGTTTTCTGTGGCTCGCCCACACACACAACAATGTTAGCCCACTGAGCCCCAGGGGCCTGTCCTGGCAGCCAGGGCCTGCTGAATGCCTGGTGGACGACGGGGCCGATGGGGGCCTCTGGACGGGGCCTTTGGGGC